TCTAAGCAAACTTTTAATTTCATTGCAGAAATAAGTATATATAATGAATGAAAATTCTTCTAGAAAATAACAATTCTGACACAGTTCTCTTGTGATAAACAGAATTTTGAATAAAATTATTATTGTTGTTTTACGATAGTGTTACAAGAACTATGTTATTATGAACAAAATTTAAATATAGATAATCATAAATATATTTATAATGCAAAATTCTTAAATTTTGCTTATGAGAATGCTGTTATCCCTCATAAATATTCTTTGACCAAAAGTCTGATGAAAATAAAATACAATGTTTGATAAGAAGTTCCGTTTTATTAAGTAATTATATGGACATTTTTAGAGTGAAACCAACATATAAATTGCTTCTTTTTTTAATCTTTCAACGATTAAATATATGGCTGCCTGGAATAGTATGTAACAAAAAGCAACTACTCTCTGAAAAACTAAGTAAAAAATCTTTTTAGGTGGACTTTTTAGTTGCTTCGATGATTGTGGCATTTGTCTCTATGGTTATTGTTGCCCACCGTGTCTATATGGAGAAAATGCTGAGAAAATCGATGGAAGCAGTTGTTTTGGTTCAGGCTGTATATGGTGCCTGCTAGCACAATGTAGCTTATGTTGTCTAGTACATATGGGCAAACGAAAAGCTTTACGTAATCGTTTTGGTCTTGAGGAAGATTGTAATGATTGTCTGGCAACAACATGTTGTGCTCCATGTGCAATTTGTCAAGAAGCACGTGAACTTAAATATCGTTCAGCCGTTCCTGGAGGTATATGAATATATAAAAACTTTATATATTGCTGAATATATCCTCTATGATTTTAGCATCAGCACCAGTTATAACACAGCCAATGGCCACGAATATGTATCCAGTATATGGACAACAACAAAATATGCAACCAACACGTGAGCAACCCGGTATGATGAAACAAGGACCATATTAAATGAATATATTGAATGATTTTTTTTTTCGTTTGCTGATTATTTTATCATTCCATAGTCTTTTTTAATCATGTCATATTCTAAGTTGTTCGAGAAACATTTTATTCTGCATCTTAATAAGAAACAAAAAAAATATAATTATACTCAGTTATTATATTGATTTAAATATCATATATTATATTTCAATTACGAACTCGAATTCTTTGATATATATATATCAAAATTCATAATCTGATCTAGTTACAATGTTTTCGTGAATTTTTTGTTACTTCCTCAATTCCTTACTTTTTTGATAATCGTCCATAACTTATTGTTAGGTATTACTCGAATTCTAACCATTTCAATATGACTATTTCTTATTCTTCCAACCTAAGGTACAACAATCATTTCTGAAATATTTACTTACAATTATCATATTAATTATCAATCTACAACTAATATTGAAAATGATACCTGTAGATGTTGATCTTTCCTAGCTTGTAAAGTATTCTGTTTGAGTTATTTTTAATATCATTTGCATTTCGTAAACAAATCATTAATTGAATGTTGTCTTGTTGCTTAATCATTTTGAGACAATTTAGTCTCAAAACTACTTCAAACCGTTTTATTTGATCTTACTTGAAGTGCTTTTGCATTCAATGAATAGATAAGAGGAAAAATTTGTTGACTTATTATTGTTATTTTTGACAAATGAACATAATCTTTTTTGGAAAATAATTTTCAAAATAAAAATTGCAGATATTTATTAAAACATATCAAGATCTAATGCATTTTTCGATGATGTTGTTGATTATTTTAATTAACGAATGATTTCTTGAAAAGAGTGTAATTTCAATATGCATTTTATTTCGATTATATAGTTTATTTTTTCATAGTCGATGTTTGTTTGTTGTTTCAAAGATCATGTATGAATCAAGTTTTTTTTATATTATGATGTAACAAGTAATTCTATAAATAAAATGGTGGGTGTGGGTGGAAATTTGGGTGGGTGTGGGTGGAAATTTGGGTGGGTGTGGATAGGTGTGAGTTTGGTTGTCGATGTGGATATGAGTGTCGGTATGAGAGATTGCCAAGATCATCATTCACACCAACAGACACGTAAATATCCACTCTGACACCTGCACCTACAGCGATACTCAAACTAACACCAACACTCATTTAAATACCCAAACCCACATCTATATCAAACCTACAACTATTCTGTAGCTAGTTATCATTATTTTTCTTTCGTAAGAAGCGTGTCATGCTTTTGCTGTGTCAAACATTGTTGGCTTGTCGTCATTCTCAAGGAGAAAGATATGAAATTTTATAATGATAAGAAAAAGATACACACATGATAACCAATGAAACAATAATGCAACAAAGATGATAAAGCAACCTATATAAGGAAGAAATTTTAGGGCATCTGCAACGGCCATCTCTTCTTTCAGTTCTTGAATTCAAAGACTACACATAATCGAGTACAGAACTCAAAAACAGGTAAGAACTCACACAAGAAAGAGAATAAAGAAGTTCTCTTTCTCATTCAAAGTATGGCTAATCTTTCACATCATTAGTACTATGAGTTTTGAACCATCGCTCTTATCACACTACATTTAAGCTCAACAAGTGCTCGCTATTCAGCTATACGAATTTGCAAAACGATTAAGTTCGAAATAGATTCCGATGAATGTGAACGATGACAGTTTTTCTATTGAGCAACACATGTATGTAGTTCTCTTTCTGATAGCCTTTTAAAACTCATTTTGACTAAGAAAAACACATACGCTTCGTTCTTCCATAGTACGTCTATAGTGAATTCATCTGTCGGTGATCTGTAAATTGGATTCGTAGATTCCTAGATGGAACAATAGTAAAAATATGTTTGCTTCTATTGATATACAAGAGGTAGAACTCAAGAATTTTGCTAATTCATTCAATTAGCTTAATACCTTTTCACGCTTTATTACATATTCTTATTTTTGCTTCCAAATCGGAATTCGGCTCAGAATTTTGTTTCTCGAGCAGAATAGTACTTCATTTCATATAACGATTATTATTAATTCAACATGAATTGACAACATGAAAGACAGTGTGAATAATGAAACAGGTAAGTTAAATCACCGATGCTCTTCTACCTGAAAAATATCAACATTATTTAAATAATTATTTCGTTCTTCATGCCGAACATTAACAAATACGTAATATTAACATTCATAAAGATACGAAAACCCTAACGGTTAACTTCCGATGCGTGATAGTATGCAAGAAATAATTGCAATAGATTTTTCTGACTTCTTAAATATATAAGATATAAATCTTGTAATACAATTGACTAAAAATATATTAGACAATTAACTTAAAATTAAAGAATAGCTTATATAGTACATGAATTATGAATATTTGTTTTTCATACGAAGAATAAATTCGTACAAAAATCGGTAAAGGAATTGTAAGCCAGGTTTCTATCACAGATATTCAAAAAAAGCGATGAAATCGTTTCAAAAACTGTGAGTGTAGAACCAAATGAAACTCAATATTCAACTGAATTAAATCAACTTCGTCAGCAATTTCATGAAATATCAGATTACGTGGAAATTAGAAAAACTTAATATCCTAGATGTATTTATTAAAACCTTCATAAAACTTTTTTTATATTAGAATTCTGTTCAACATTTATTCTTGTAGGAATAAATGTATATAATAAATGACACAATTCTGTTAGGAAATCATAAATTTTAACACTATGAATATATTGATGATCGTCATGAAAAATGAGATAATATTTTAAATAATGTTGATGATACTGATGCAGAAAAAAGAATACTAATTTGAATTATGTTCATCCTCTTTTTACGAAAATCCGCCGTAACTTAAATTATTTACTTGTTCCACTATTCATGCTATCTTTGATGTTGTCTGTTCATATTGAATTATTATTACTAATCGTTATATGTAATGAAGCACAAGTCTGTTGGAAAAACAAAACTCTAAGCAAACTTTTGATTTCATTGCAGAAATAAGTATATGTAATGAATGCAAATTCTCATAGAAAATAAGAATTGTGATACAGTTCTCTTATACTAAACAGTAATTCTGAATAGAATTATTATTGTTTTACTACAGTATTATAAGAACTGTGTTATAATGAACAAAATTTAAATATAGATAATCATAAATATAATCACAATGCAAAATTCTTAAATTTTGCGTATGAGAATTCTGTCAACTCTCATAAATATACAATAACCAAAAGTCTGGCTAAAATAAAATACAATATTTGATAAGAAGTTCAGTTGTATTAAGTAATTATATGGACATTTTTAGAGTAAAACGAACATATAAATAGCTTTTTTTATCGTTCAACGATTAAATATATGGCTGGCTGGAATAGTATGTAACAAAAAGCAACTACTCTCCGAAAAACTAAATAAAAAAAATCTTTTTAGGCGGACTTTTTGATTGTTTCAACGACTGTAACATTTGTCTGTATGGATATTGTTGTCCAGCGTGTCTATATGGAGAAAATGCTGAGAAAATCGATGGAAGTAGTTGTTGTGGTGCATGCTGTGTCTGGTACCTGCTAGCAGGACTTGGTTTATGTTGTCTAGTACATTCTGGCAAACGACAAACTTTACGTAGTCGTTTTGGTCTTCAAGAAGATTGTAATGATTGTGTAGCAACAACATTTTGTGCTCCATGTGCAATTTGTCAAGAAGCACGTGAACTTAAATATCGTTCAGTTGCTCCTGGAGGTATATGAATAAATAAAAACTATATATATGTTATGAAATAGATTTTTTATGATTATAGGACCGACATTAATTGTAACACAGCCAACAGGTATGGGTATGCCTTCACCATATGGACCACCAGTAAATATGCCACCACAATAGGAACAACCTGGAATGATGAAACAAGGACCATATTAAATGAATAAATTGAAAGACTTGTTTTTTCATTTGCTAACTATGCTATCTTTTTATAATCTTGTTTGATCATTTCATAATCTAAATTGTTTGAAAAGTATTTGATTTTGTATGCTTTTAAGAAAAAGAATTATAATCAACGTCATTTCTACTGAAATAAATCATATTAGCATCTATACATGAACTTTCATTCATAGATACATATAAGAATTCATAGTGTAATTTAATACAGAATTCTGATGAATTTTTGGCTAGTTCTTCAATTCCTAACTTTTTTTTTTTGATAATCGTCCATAGTTTATTGTTAGGTATTACTCGAATTCTAAACATTTGAGTATGATTATTTCTTATTGTTCCAGCCTAAGGTACAACAATCATTTCTGAAATATTTACTTACAATTATCATATTAATTATCAATCTACAGCTAATATTGAAGATGATACCTATAGATGTTGATCTTTCCTACCTTGTAAAATATTCTTTTTTAGTTATTTTTAATATCATTTGCATTTCGTAAACAACTCATTAATTGAATGTTGTCTTGTTGCTTAATCATATTGAGACAATTTAGTCTCAAAACTACTTCAAACTGTTTTATTTGATCTTATTTGAAGTCCTTTTTCATTCAATGAATAGATAAGAGGAAAAATTTGTTGACTTATTATTGTTATTTTTGACAAATGAACATAATCTTTTTTTGAAAATAATTTTCGAAATAAAAATTGCAGATATTTATCTAAACATATCAAGATCTAATGCATTTTTCGATGATGTTGTTGATTATTTTAATTAAAGAATAACTTCTTGAAAAGAGTGTAATTCCAATATGCATTTTATTTCGATTATATAGTTTATTTTTTCATAGTCGATGTTTGTTTGTTGTTTCAAAGATCATGTATAAGTCAAGTTTTTTTTTATTATGATATAACAAGTACTTCGATAAATAAAAGACTAGTTCTTGAGCGTTGTCGACGTATTGAACGTGTTATTTTTTTCTCGACATAAAAATAAAAATTTTAAGAAAAGGATTCTGCCAAGCACTAAAGAATGAGGGTCCACAAAGAATTTTGGGTTGCCAAATGAGGAATTTTTTAATTCATGTTTGTCGAATATTTTCCTCGAAGGTCACGATATAGGGCTAGAAGATAAGTATAGTCTCTTCGCTACAGTCCTAACACAACATAGAATTTGAATGAGTCTGATCGGTTTTGAGAGAGAAACTACCTTGAACTATTTGAATAAAATAATTCAATATCAATGAATGTAACGATCAACAAATTATTATAAGAATAATTGAAATCATTCGATAAATCTTTTCGATTAAAAAGAATCATTGTGAAGATTGATGACATCAAATGTATCGCTTGTAACGAAATACTCAATATGGTCACATACGTGACAAGAGAAAATTTTCTTTCTAATGTTAACACACCTTTTCAATTACTAAACAAATATAAAAAAATTCATCGACATTCATGTTCAAATTTAATAAAGCAAATCTATTAAATGAAGTTTCTCATTGCGATTTCACAAGTATAAATTTCATAAAATACAAGAAAACAATTATTGACTATTGCAAACAGTTGTCCCAAAAAAAAAGAAAAATCATACAACATATTTATGAAAGTTGCATAAAAGTTGAGAATAGTATTAATCTAGATTAATTCATCGACATAAAATACAGTACAAGATAAGTAGTTTATATGATAACATCGATTTAAATCTAGATATACATGCAAAGCGTTTGTTTTTCGTATTGTTTTTCCTGGTTGATGTGCAATAAAGAATATATTTAAAATAAAGTCTAAAATATCACATTACAAAATTCTCACAAAAAAAGAATCAGTGAAAAATGATATAAAATATATTTGTTGTGGAAAAAAAAATCATCTTACTAAATAATAATATAAGGTAGTCTTTTTTTTCTGAAGCAAAAAAAAAGAAACAACATTTAAGAAGCCTATAAATCAATATTATGAATAAGTATAACACATTGATTGAACAAGTAAGATACTTTTCGGGTACACTTTTGTATTGAATAAATATTTGATTTCTTCTCAATCATATTCTTTACAAAATATAATGCCTTTGCAATTCAGACATGTAGAATATTTTTCGTAGTCAATAAGAGTCAAAAAATAGTATTTTACCTTCACTCAGAAAATTTTAAAAACAGATATTTTAAAGTATTATTATGTAAGTTATAAAATAGAGCAAATTGTTACTAACTTCTTTCAGAGATTCAATAAAAAAAAAATATATGTAATATATACTACTGAAAAAACAGTTGATAAGCATCATAATTATTTTTGAAAGAGAACAAAACAAAATCGTTTCTTCTTTATGTATAAATATGCTTTGAACAGACTTCCTAGTGGGAACAAAATATAATGATTTATTGTATAAGATGTTTATTTCCTGTTCGATTCTATTTTAAGTCAAGACATGTGGTGCTAAATGACTGAGTAGAGACAAAAAAACATCGATTCATAATTACAAGTCATGATGATCTCTCATTGTTCTTTGATCTTTATAGAAGTAAGTAAAGTATTCAATTGTAGTTCTTTCTCAAACACAATGAACAAATGATATTGATCATGTTGTTTTCTTTATGTGGGTTAGTCGTAGTAGAAATCATGAAGTATAATTCTATACTGAGAGATTAATGAGCAAATAAAAAGTTACTCTGCTTGATTATAAGGTACTCTACTCTTTCCAGAGTTTCTTGACGACAGTTTCTAAGAAAAAATTGAAATTTTCAAGGTAGATAGTTCTTGACAAGTAGAGCAAAATTTGTTGTAGACTCACAGTTTCTGGATGCTGTTTTCTATGATTACCATTGGTTTCAATTAACATTTTCGCTACTACGAAATAGTATGTTCTATCGATTTGAAGATTTTTTTTTTTCACAGACATTACATACTGTTTTCAGTGGATACCTTTTTACTTGTTGTTCTTCGAATAAAAAAATCAAAATATCGAGAGATGCTCTAAAATACACGCGTTTTTATAAGATCAATCAAAAGTTAGCTGAACATAATTTTTTTGAAACCAGAAAAAAAAACCATTAGAAACAGTGTATAGCGTATGTGAAAAAAGTTTCAGTTCGATCCAAGAAACTGGAACGTTTTTGAACTTTTTTTTTCATGAAAAAGTCAGCAGTTTTCGCTATTTTCATTACATACATTTGATTTCTTCCTTAATTTTTCAGTGTTCAAAGACGATTTGGATTCCACAATGTCCTCAATAGTTAGATACTATTTCAAAATATGCAATGGTCACAAAAGAAGAAAAATTTTCGGTGACATAAGGCGAAAGATCCTTTTAAAAAATAGAACAACTTATCATCCGTCTTTTATCTCTAGTAACATTACGGAATATATAAAAAAGCATTCAAAGATTCACAGTATACTTTACTTGTATCATATATTTTTTTTAGATTTTCTATCTCAAAATATAAATAATTAATATAAAATGCCAGGTACTAACGATTGGAACGGTAAGATATATTTGACATAGAAATGACCTTTTTATATATAAATTTTTTTTCTTCGAGATTTTTAGAATCTTTATGTGGTTGTTTAAATGATTGTAGTTCATGTTGTTATGGTTTTTTTTGTTTATCATGTTTATTTGGTTTAAATGCAAAGAAAATAAGTGGTCATCATTGTGTTATTATGTGTTGTTTATATTCAATTTTAACAAGTTGTTATTTATGTTGGTTACCACATTTATTTGAACGTCAATCATTACGTGAAAAATATAATTTAAGAGAAAATCCATCATGTGGAGATTGTCCAACAACATTATGTTGTGGTCCATGTGCACTTTGTCAAGAAGCACGAGAAATAAAATCACGAAGTATATTCTAACAAAATAATTAAGCTTGTAATATTCTTTTATATTGATTACTTTTAGAAAATATTGGTGCTGCCTATACAACAAGTGATCCAACCGTTGTTTCTCAACCAGTACCAGTTCAACGAGGTGTTTATCCTGATTCTCATCGAAATTACTAAGTTTGAATTAGAAATTTTCAAGAATAAACTTTTTTAAATTACTTTTAATCATATTTTATTTTATTCTGCTATTAATTTCATCTCATTTTTTTTAAATATCTTGATGATTTCTTTTCATTTGTAAGGCAAGGTAAAATTTGTTCACTAAAATATTTAGTCAAATATTACTGGTGAAAAACTAACAAATATTACATAAAATAATCTTTCATATGGAAGCACAGAAAAAGAAGATTAGTTAGTTGTAAAATTTCTTTCTTATTTATTATTGTTGAAATAATATTGAAAATTACAACACCTATGTGCTTCATTTTTTATTTAATCATTTTAAAGAAAGAAAAATGATATTAAAAGGTTTTTTTTTGCATTTCTTATCGTATCAATAATAAAGCTCCACAGATGCAGTGATTTACATAGCTGGATTCAAACATACAGATTATATACAATTGAGTTCTTCACTGTTATTCGGTTCATATTGTTGCAAGATTCGTATTAAAAAGTAATAATAATCGATTTCATCTAGTGGAACTCAGCCTCTATCGATTTCTTACAGGTTGGATCTGATTGAATGGATATTTATTATAAGAATGCTGTACGTTGAATCAGAAAAACATGATATACGAAAATTAATATTCAGTATACTTGAAACCTATCGAACATTCTTCGATAACATTTTGTGTTGATTTAGAATAATAGAGCACTTCGAGTTTAACGAATAAGGTTGATTAACTTCGAACTCAATCATTTCTATTCGACACTAAATTTGAGATTTTCTACTAAAAAATCATTCAGTTTATCACGTATGAATTCCCTTTAAGACATTTATGAGGAAAGTCCTTCAACTGTTCAATCACTTTTGAGTCGAGATTCTTTGCCTTATGTAGATTCAAGTGAGTCCTGAATACCCTGGAAAGTGTTTGTGTCCTTAGTTTATTACTAAAGAACTACTG